GGGGAGAATGGTCCTCTGGGTCACATTTTGCCAGTAAATCAGCCTCCTTCCCTTGAAATGCTGGGGCTTCCAGAGGGGCAGATAAACAGCTTCTTGCTCAATGCAGAGAGAAAGATGTGGTCCAGAAATGGCAAAGCTGACAGGTTGGGGTTCCTTAGTGGACTGCAGGTGTTTCTAGAGCTTGTCCTTTGCATTCGTTCCCTCTCTTCCTCATGCGGACTAAGTGCCTGGCCTTAGTGTGGGGAAGGGGGGCCCTAGGGTTACAGCTCAGTGCCTAATGTCCAGGATGTAAACAGTCCAAAACAAAGGGCAGTGAACTCAGAGAAGATGGGCTGAACTCAGAAGAGTGAGAGCGCTCTAAAGGAGAGAAACAGCATTATGAGAAACAGTCGTAGGAAAGAAAAACAGAAGGGGGCACTTAGATGGCTCAGTTAAGGGTCCGACCTTGGTTCAGTTCATGATCTCGCGGTTCATATATTCGAGCCCCACATCGGGATCTCTGCTGTCAGCCTGTCAGTGCGGAGCCTGCTTCAGATCCGCTCTCTGCCCCTCCCCCTCTTGTGTTCTCCCCAAAATAAACACATACTAAAAAAAGAAAAGAAAAGAAAAAGAGGAAAACAAAAGAAAAAACATGGAGAATAAGTGTTTAGGAAAAAACAAAAGAGAACTGCTTTTTTTTTTTTTTAAGTTTATATCTTTAGTAATCTCTGCACCCAACATGGGTCTCGAACTCATGATCCCGAGATCAAGAGTCGCAAGCTTTACCGGCCGAGCCAGCCAGGTGTCCCCAAAGAAAGCTTCTAAGAATTTGCAGCCAGGGTAATAGAATAAGTGTGCACAGAGAACATGCCAAAGACGATCACCTCTAGGGACCCACAGGATGGCAGGAGTGGACAGAAACTGGAAGGAGAAACATAGCTTGAGACAGCAGACCTGACTCTGACCTAGCCAGCGTGAAGAGAGCGTGTGCTAACCCCTCAGTGTGCTAAGCTCACACTGATGTTTAATTTAATTGTTTAATAAGTTCAGTTATCCATTTGACTGTGATGGACAGGAGAGAACTTTCTAGAAAGGTGTAAATATTCCATATTGTGAAAGAGATATAGTTTACATGGGCAAATCTATTTGTCAGTATTACACGGTTAAGATTTCTGCGTTTGGGGCTCAGTAGTTTAAACGTCTGATTCTTTATTTCAGCTCAGGTCATGATCTCACAATTGGTGAGATCGAGCCCCAAATCCGGCTCCGCACTGATAGTGTGGAGCCTGGTTGGGATTCTCTCTCTTCCTCTCTCTCTGCCCTTCCCCTACTTGCACTCTCTTTCTCTCTCTCTCAAAAATAAATAAGCTTAAAACAAAAACAAAACGAGGGGGTGGCTAAGTTAAGTGTCCAACTTCGGGCTCAGGTCATGATCTCACAGTTGGTAGGTTTGAGCACCTCATCAGGCTCTGTGTTGACAGCGCGGAGCCTGGAGCCTGCTTCTAGTTCTGGGTTTCCCTCTGTCTCACTGCTCCCAGCTCACACCCTGTCTCTCTTTCTCTCTCAAAAATAAAAAAAAAATTTTTTTAATTTTTTTAAATATTTCTGTGTTTCAATGTTTGTAAATTTCACAACAAGAGCTATACAAACTAGCCATGCAACTATACAAAATAACCAAGTGGGAGGGGCTGGAGGTACAGAAGAAACAAGAAAGAATGTAAATGATAGGTAAAGCATAAGTGGGAGTTGTGTGGACATTAAATTTGGTTTGAAATTTTTCATAATAAAAAAGTTTTTTGGGGGGGTGTCTGGGTGGCTCAATCAGTTGAGTGTAGGATTTCGGCTCAGGTCATGATCTCGTGGTTGGTGGGTTCAAGCCCCACATTGGGCTTTGTGCTGGCATTGCAGAGCCTGCTTGGGATTCTCTCTCCCTCTCTCTGACCTCCCCCATGCTCTCTTTCTTTTAAAAATAAATAAATTATCTTTAAAAAAAAAAAGGTTTATTTTATTTTATTTTATTTTACTATTTATTTTTGATAGAGCACACGAGCAGGGGATCGGCAGAAAAAGAGGGAAACAAAGAATCTGAAGCAGGCTCCAGGATCTGAGCTGTCAGCACAGAGCCTGACGCAGGGCTTGAACTCATAAACCGGGAGATCATGACCTGAGCAGAAGTCAGTCGTTTAACCAACTGAGCCATCCAGGCGCCCCAAAAGAGGTGTTTTTTTGTTTTTTGTTTTTTTAGTTGCCTGTAATGTTTTACTGTTGTCCTTAGGCAAGTCCCTTTTGGGTTATCAGGAAGGCAGCGGAGACATTATCTAATCCAGTCATCCCGTTTTAGGTGAGGAAATTGAGGTGAACCTTGATTTGTCCAAGGTGTTCTCAGATATCAAGCAGCAGAGCTAATGATGGAGTATCAGGAGGGAGCAGCACCCTTTTGACCTTTTCAACTGTCACCCACTTGTAGGGAGTCTGCTGGAATTCATCCCTTACCCGGGTTTGCCTCTCCAACCCCCCCAGGCCCAAGGATGTGCAGGGAGGTTGCGTGGGCTGGAGGGCGTCTGTTAGCTGCAAGCCAATTGCTCTGCTCTGGGTTGTTTTCAGTCTGAAAGGTAATCCTGAGCTCGCAGAGATTCAGTGAGGTCCCTTAGCTGCCACTTCCAAAGGCAAAAAAGGAAACCCAGACAATTAACGATTTCCAGTAACCAAGAGTTGAAACTCCAAGGGGGCCGGAGTCCCAGCTCTGCGGCCATCAGAGGCATTGCCTTAGGGCAGTCGCCTCTCTTGCCTTGGTTTTCCCTTATTTGTAAGAAGAGAGTGAAGAAGACTTTTGGGTTCTATGACCTTACGGGGGTTGTCAGGAAAATCTCAAGAGGTGTGGCTAGGAAAGCACTATGAAAAGTAAAAAGCAGTAACACAGGGTAGCATTATCACAGAGAGAGGGCAGGGTGGGTGAGGAAAGGTAGGAAAGCAGGAAAGCTTCTGCAGGATTCTTTTTTTTTTTTTTTAATGTTTATTTA